TCATTAAATACATAATTAAAATTAACACATTTGCATTTAAAGAACTTGAATTTTGAATGAAAGAAATAAACGATCTCAAAAGATTACATTGTTTGCCCAAAAATGAAATTTAGCTACTCATGATAATGGGAAAAAACTAAAGATTTGCGTTGAGTATATTATCAGGTTTTGAATTGAGATGTAAAAGGATGATGAATCTAACACCAAGTTTTCTTTTTGCCTCTAATATTGATTTCAAAATTTAGATCTTGATTTATTTTTTTCCCTTCCCTTTTGATTTTATCTCAAAATCTCAAGTCGTATCTTATGCCTCTCAATTGGTGGAATCCCCTTTTAAGTGCCTCCATTCTTCTATTTATATTTCCCTTCATGTTTCTTCAAAATTTAGAGTCTTTTTGTACTTTTTACAGGTCAAAATAGTGCAAAACCTAAAGCAGGTGGCGCGACGCCGGATCACTAGAGGCTAGCGCCCGAGCCTGTGCTGCACTTCTGGGCCTCCTACTTCCTTCGTTGGTCCTTTTGCGACGCCTACGCACGGGTCATGGCGCTTGGGGCACCATGTTGTTGCCTTTGTTAGCCCTTCGTGGCGCCTGGATGCCATGAATTTTTGTTTGGGGGTGCCTAGGCACTCACTTTTTTGCTTATTTTCCTTAGTTTTTTTTTTTGCTTGTTTCTTCACTTTAGCACCCCTTTTACACCACCTCACCTATTTACAAAACAAAACTAGCAAATGCATTAAAAACGTTCTTTACTTATAAGACCTAACAAATAATTAACTTAAAAATGGATTTATGTGTGAAAAACACACTCGTCAAAATTTAAAATCAAAATTAATAATCAATTTAACTATATATTTTGTGAGATCCACAACTTTTCAACTCACATTTTATCAAATTTTATCAATATCTATTAAAATTTTATTTTTTAGCTATACCAAATTCACCCAAAAAAAAAAAAAAAAAAAAAAGCAAAAGCTAGTTGCATTGATTGAACAGATGATGTATCAATGCTAATTCGTCTGATTAATTTAATTACAACGTGATTTTGATCTTCACCATTTAAATACTTTTCACACTAGTCGGAGCCGAGATCCGAAATTCTCCGAGCCCCTCTAGATTTTCCACCATTCTCCTTTTTTTCATAAGAATAATACTATCTAATTTTAGCAGTGCTAAAATATCAATTTATTCTTAACAACCATATTTTATAGGTCCAATTAAATGAACAATTTTCATTTCATTTAAATGAATTTATCATTTAAGAGTGGCAAAACTTAAAATTAGTTGAACTTTTTCTATATCAGTGTTCAAATTCAAAAGTCACGAGTTTGAGTGAAAAATCTGGAGGATATTTGTTAGACCTATGTTTTATTTAAGTTAAATTTTACTTTTGAGTTAATTATTTTCTATATCATTTAGAAAGGAAGATTCAAGATCAAACTCTTTAACCTTTCATAAAGTGTGGTGATGACCACCTATTTAAATTTTAAAATTTTTAAATTTGAGCCGCTGTGTGATTGAAATGATGCATGTTTTAGCTTAACTCGCATGCGAATTTCAATTGAATTTGATTCATATCCTAAATTGTTCGATGGTTTTCCCTTCAACTTTAAATTATGTAAATCGTTGACAATTCATTCACATACGGGGCTCATAACCTCTGTTTTAATTTTGTGAACATTAACCCATAAACATACCAATTAAAGCTCAACCTTAAAATTTTCTTTTTTAAAAATTACTTTTGTTTCCAGTAAACTTTACTGAAAGTTTTTTTTTTAATTTATTTATTATTATTAATTTTTTTTTTTAAAATTATCCATACAGGAGTTGGAGCAAATCAAGGGGTCAATTGTCAATAAAGTCGTATGTTTAAATCATAAAAATTCGTGGGCCATATATTGAAAATTGAAGTCCACTAAAAGAATGTGGATAATGCTTACATGATAGTACTGTTACCTTTCAAAAGTAATTATCATCTCTAATACAGTTACCCAACGAACAACATAAAAAAAAAAAAAAAAAGATATACAAAAAAAAAAAAAAAAAAAAAAAAAAAAAAAAAAAAAAAAAGGTTGAATCACAATCTTAGCGGCCCCCACCGACCCTATCCTGGATCATCGTGGAGGAGGTAAATCGCAGGATGTGCCTCCTAAAAGTCAAGGTGGAGAGCACATAGATAGGCCAAGGCTGTTAACCCATATGGTAACTCCCGCTTGCAACAAACACTGCCGCGCTGAGCCCTATCCGCCCTCCCCTTTGCCACTGAGAGATATGCCCTGGGGGCTACCCAACGAACAACATAATTATCACTATCGATTGGCAAAAAGACAAAATTTAATCAATTCGCCAAGCCAATATCATTTTCCCTTTTTATTTTTAACATTTTTGTGTTCATTCTATATAATACTTTAGCCCATGTTTGATTGTAGTTTATAAACGTTTAAATTACTTTATTTTCAAATTTTGTCGGGTTAATCAGTATTATTCACTTATTTACAACTCATTGTTATATATTTATAATTTAAAGCATTTATAAACAACTTTCAAACATGCTTTAGTGGCCAAACAAGAAGTCTTTTTTTTTTCTCTCTCTTTTCTTTTCAATAATTTTATATTAACGGTATTTTTTTTGTTATCGTTCGTTTAATAACTTGTATGTCAGTTAATATGTTAATTCATCGTCATCATGTCTAAATTATCTATTTCTTTTGCTACGATTAAAAGATTCTACATATTCTGGTCGATTATCCAACATTAATAAATATTGAATTATTAAATATTAACAGCTATGCACAAGGTTAAGAAACTTAGGATAACCTCGTGCAAATGAACGTAGTCATTTTATATCAA